CTAGAAAATCGCAACTTTTCATTTTCCGTCAGTCTTGGTACACGATGTAACTACAGAAGAGTCAAGTTTTAAATAGGAAAAATATAGAACTCTATAAAAAAAAATATAGAAATATACTCTTTGGTCATTTTTGAGGGAGATGCTAACGGTCTAATCAGATTCAATTATCTATGCTAAGCTACAGCTAAAAGTGCTACCGCCAGACCCGGAGATATTCTGTTACACCAAATAATGATCTTTAAAATAGAATCATATGACCCCTTTAAGACCCATTCACACTGTAAACAAAAAAATATAATGGTAACTGTATTAGCATCCACACTAACGGATCTTCAGCTTAACTGCAGTGTGCCTTTTAAAGCTGGATGGATTTTAGCGTTCATTGTGACTTTTTTATATATATATATATATATATATATATATTTTTTTTTTATATTTTTTTTTTTATGTGTGGTTATAGTTGGCTATTTTGGAGTGAACAGGCAATAAGGTTAGAGAGAGGGTAGAAAATGGTCAGGTAACATCAAATTCTGAAATTTGCTGCCTAGACAGCTTGACTGAAATTATAAAAATGATTAATAATTAATTGAAATAATTTTTTAAAAAGAGTAGTAAAATTAGAATTTATTTTTAACATGAAAATTTTATGCAGGTGTAATGTGGGTCTTCAAAACATGCACCATTTATAAAATATACTTCACTATGTGCACAGAAGTTTTTTACTGTTTGTGTGTGTGTAAATTACTCTGCTTATGTCTTAAGGTTTTTTTTATTTTTTTTTGTCAGAACTGCAGCTGCTGTTCACATCACTCAGTGGTCTCCAGATGGAGAATACTTCGCCACAGCTGGAAAGGTACCGCACACAACATTTTATATCATGGTGGACATCAGTTGTTCTTAAATTATGCTAATTATAAGTACTACACACAAGACCTATCCCTTACAGAAACCTTTATCATTGTGATGTGTAAAATAAGACATTGTTTGGTTCCTATATGAACATAGATGCCAAACTGTATTTGGGAATCTAATGGATATGAGTAGCATGGTAAGCTATGGCTTCAAAGTAGTTAAATCCTATCCTTTTAAACTAGTAGTTAGCTACTGTACAGTCTATTAGCTAAGCTAACTGTTTAAGCTATTTATTTTTTACAACAGGAAAAAACAGTATTTGAACAGATATATTGACATACAACTAATACAACTATGAAAAAAAAAAAACAATGCTGAAACAAAGATTCAACGAAATATTTCACTAAAGGATAAAAAAGGACTGTTGTGGATCTTTTTAAACCAGTTTACGGAACCTGCCCAAAAGAACTGATCTCCTACAATAAACTGGACTGAAATTCTCTGAGGAAAGGAGCGTGACATGCTGTACTCATAGGAAAAAATAAGCCACACCATTTTAAAACAGCTTCTGTGACGCTTCTGGTAAATGTTAGTATAAGTTAGTCGCGTGGCTACTTAAAGGTGTGTTCACATTAGCAAGATTTTGTGGGCAAGAAAGGTCCATTGTACATTATGAAGCACAGCTCACACAGAAGTCACATTCATACCAAGCAGATTTCTGTTGGTCAACTCATCAAATCTGCGTGACCAACTTGAACCTGTTGCAAAATCTGCATGAGAAAATAGCTTGCGCTCACGCTAAATTTCCAATTGTGTGGATTCCTACTGAAATACAACAGCGATCAAGCCTTTCAAAGTAAGTTCCATTGACCGTGAATGCAGATCTAGTGGACCGTTTTTTTCAAGCCCTTAAATCACTTGCATATGCACTGTTGTGTGTGCCGACACAAAAATCTAGCTGTGCATGTACATCTGTGTATTGTGCTGACGTTGAAAATTGCATCACACAAACTGGCCAAGAGCCAGAGTGGCGCAGAAACAAGGGAAGTATACTTTTGGCATTATAACTAGTTACTCAGTGGTCCTAATGTAGGTTTGGTCCCCCCAAAATATTATACTTTGGAGTCCAAATATATTGATTGGTGCAAATGTGGTTCTTTTGCAAATGTAATGGCATTTTGTCTCATTTTCATACTCTGAACAAGAAAAGTGATTTGCATGTCAGCAAGTGTGAAAATGTGAAATTACAGTTGCAAAACCATTTCTCTCCCTCTGTCTCTCTCAGAATGACTGCCTGCTGAAGGTGTGGTATCCCTCCACAGGATGGAAGTCTGCAGTGGTGATGCCAGACGTGACTGATAAAAAGATCTCAGCGGTTCATTTCTCATTTGTGTATCTGGCACATCCGCGTATGGTGACAGGCTTCTCCTGGAGGAAGACCAGTAAATATATGCCCAAGTATGTCAGACACATCCACAGACTCTTTCACTCATACTAGGGTGGGTGGTATGACAGAATGTACCATGTAGTAGTAGCAATATGTCAAATAGTAGATACACCGCTAAACCATTTGTACCATTTGGTATATGCATGGGGCTTGAATTTAACAGATTTGCAGTCACAGCTGTGCATGAATGAATACATTTTTATATATTTTTTTAATTTATAAAAAAAAAAAAAAAAATTTTTTTCACATCCATCAAAAATTGAAAGAACACATTATCCAAAACTAGATTATCCAGTGCCAGAATTTATAGAAATTGTTTTTTTTTTAAATATAAAATTTTTTGAATTGAACCTCCAATCAAAATTACTGTATTTTCTTATATGTTGTTAGGACTAAAAAGGACTCAAATTATTTACTATTTTGGTAAAAAAAAAGGTAATGTTTAAAATATTTAATTTATAAAATAATTATGAATTGAATTAATATAAAAATATAATAATACAGTGGGTATAGAAAATAATCAACCCCCTTTAAAATAATCACATTTTGTTGCTTTTCAGCCTGAAATGAAGACGGACACAGTTTTTGTTTCATCCAGCTGTATTTACTTAATGCAACTTATAACATCCAAGTGAATGATATAACAGCAACATTGCTTTAATTACAGCCTTTATTTTAAAGGGGGGTGATTATTTTCTATACCAACTATATATATAAATATATATATATATATATATATATATATAATCAAAATACAGAATAAAACTGTAATATTGTGAAATATTATTATTACAATTTAATAATGTTTAATAATGGTTTTTTATGTGAATATATTGTAACATATAATTTATTCCTGTGATGCAAAGCTGAATTTTCAGTATCATTACTCCAGTCTTCAGTGTCACATGATCCTTCAGAAATATTATCAATGTTGGAAACAGTTGTGCTGCTTGTTTTTTTGTTTGTTTGTTTTTTGAAACGCCATTTACTTAAAATAGAAATCTTTTGTAACATTATACCATTCAAAAGTTTGGGGTCAGTAATGTTTTTTTCTTTCTTTTTTTTTTTTAAAGAAATTATTACTCTATTCAGCAAGAATGTGTAAAATTGATTTTACAAAAGTTTTCTATTTTAAATGCTGTTCTTCTTAACTTTTTATTCATCAAAGAATCCTGAAAAAAGTATCAGTATGTCCCCAAAAAAAATATTAAGCAGCAAAAACTGTTTCTGATATTGATACTAAATCAGCATATTAGAATGATTTCTGAAGGATCATGTGACACTGAAGACTGGAGTAATGATGCTGAAAATTCAGCTTTGATCACAGCAATAAATTATGTTTATTAAAATAGAACACTGTTATTTTAAATTGTAATAATATTTCACAATATTGCTGTTTTTTCTGTATTTTTGATCAAATAAATGCAGCCTTGATGAGAATAAGAGACTTCTTTAAAAAGTAATAAAAATCTTACTGATCCCAAACTTTTGAACTGTAGTGTCAATTACAATTGAATGTTCTTGCTTCATTTCAAAAGATTTGAGTCCAGACTTGAGTGAGTAAGATATTAGGTAAATGTATATCTTCATATCATTCCATTCAGTTTGGACTCCAGCCTCTCAACTACTATTTCTTTTGCTGAGGCGCTGTAGATTTAACAGTGCAGGAAACACTGCAGAGATTTTAGTCTTACCGCCCACACTTAACTCGCACTGTGAATTCCTCCCATGTTTGTGTGTATTTCTCATTGTGTGTGTGTGTATGTCGTAGGGGCTCTGTGTGTAACGTGTTGCTGACGTCCTGCGCGGATGGCATCTGTCGTCTGTGGAGTGAGACCCTCTTGCCTGAGGACAGTCTGTTGGGGGGGCAGATCTCAGAGAACAGCGCCAGCTTCAGCTCCACTCTGCCAAACATCGCTCAGAAAGACAAGATACAGCACGCTCTGGAGGTCAGCATGCAGAAACACACATGCTCAGAAACACCAGTCTGAAATCATACCAGCGCAATAGAATTATGTAGCCCGAAATTATTGGCGTCAAGGCATAATGAAGAATAATGTGCTATGTGTGTTAGCTGGGTTACTTTTTAAAATGAACTACTCCCTGCAAATGTAGTCTCTGGCGTATATCTACACACTATGGCAGCAATTTGATCAAATAATCACATTGTTATCTGTGTCTTCCTTACGTATCAAATCATATCTACTTAGATATCAAGGCTAAAATCACACTTAAATGCAAATAAATGTCTGTGTTATTAAATCTTATTTAAATTGTTGTCAAATGGCAAAGTATTGAATGATTTTTGCACCAGATTTTTTTCCTCCTCAGCAGTTGTCATCTTCAGTAGGATGTGTGAAAACTGCATATTAGCAAGCAGTAGCCTACCTTTTGTCTCCATGTAAACCAAAAACTAACAAGCAATACATTTTGTCTCCTAACTAAATCATATTTTGCTGAAAATAGACAAAATGGATAGCAATTTAAAACCATCAAGCTTCAAACAGGGCAAAAAAATATATAAAAAATAGAAGCACCACAAATGTACTACACAAGAAATATATTAGTGGTCGACCGATATATCGCCAAGGCCGATTTTTCAAATATCGGCATCGGCCGATACGTTTTTCTGTTTGGCCGATGTGTTCGAGGCGGGACTTTTATTTTGACGGCGCTGAGAACGGCAGTGCATGAGCGCACACAGCTCACATTCCCCCTCTTGTTCGCTGTCGTCATTCAGTTCTGTCTAATATGGATAGAAGTCTATCTAATAATCAGATAGAACTGTTAAACAAAGAAATTAAAATGTATACAAAAAAGTATTATAACGATTGCTTTAATATTATTAGTAATAGAAAGGCAATATATAATGTGCATGGGCTTCATTTAATATAATTGTGCATCTGTTGATTTCATTTTTGTGTGGATTATTTGGTTTTATTTGAAAAACAGAAGCATGCGGAATGGACTCTGATGTGAATCTCCAGTTTGAACGGCTCTGCTAAGTAATAAATAACATATGCAGTTAACTTTATTATAAGAAAACAAAAACCATATTATTTGCCCCGTTTGCATCTTCAAGGCGCCTGTTACACATTTTTCCTGTGTTAACATCAGTATTTAATGGATGTGGAGGGTGGGCACCCACCGGCAGAAGCATAAATTGGTATAAATTGATGATAAAATTTTAATTTTTAGGTCTATTTCTTTAATGTTAGCTGTTAGACAATTCTTAAATCGATTTTAGACAGAATTTTGGTGAGTTGTATTGCACAATACACAGACATATATTTGTGTTTAATAAAATCACAGACTTTTGGTTTTTTAGTTTAGCAATCATGCATGGGTGTGTCACATCTTAAGTGTATTTTTATTAATATTGCACCTTGAACACACACACACTCACCTGTCTCCATGTGCCATCTGTAGACCCATATGGAATCTGCATTTTCTGCACTGATTTTAGGGGAGAAACTTTAATGACACATGACAAAGTGTGTTTTTGGAGCTGAGAGTACTTCTCTCCATTTCATGGTGGCCTGCTGTACATGAATTGCATTTGCGATGGTAAAAATTGTCTGTCTCCATTCAGTCTATCCACCACCTCAAGCACCTGCGCAGGGGCCGCAGAAGATCGTCTGCCCTGGTAGCCCACACCGAGCTGCTGCCCAGCCAGCTGGGGTCCCACGAAACTCACTGCCACATTTCACACCACGCCAACGCCCTCTGCCATTTCCACATCTCTGCCAGCATCAATCCCAACACAGGTGCACACACACACACACACACACACACACAGACACACTTACTTGTGTTTGTAAACATGGTATACGAGAACACAATCTTAAATAATTACATAGAGATTACAGCGTGAGCATGGTTTATGAGGATGCTTCCTTCGTCCTCATAAATGGTTTAACCTGTTAAGCCTGACATATAAAATGTGTCTTTGTATTTAATTTTATTTTTTAAATGGAGCAGTTTAATGAACCTAAAGACAAAATATTAAAGGGGTCATATGACTTTGCTAAAAAGAACATTATCTTGTGTATTTGGTGTAATGCAATGTGTTTACGTGGTTTAAGGTTCAAAAAACACATTATTTTCCACATACCGTACATTATTTTTGCTCATAAAAGTTACGCCTTCTTTCTTTGCATATACATTTGGGTGGGGCTATGCAAATCTTCCCACACAGTGACGTAGATATGTGGGGGCGTGTTTGAACGAGGCGTTTTAGGAAGGCGTGGATGAGTGTTCACTTTTATAAAGAATATCTCTTTGGGTTTGAGACTTTAATCTTTGCGACTTTACGGATCTTCTGTATGCACGAACAGCTTTTAACACTCCAAAGACAAAGGAAAACATGAAATCGCATCATATGACCCCATTAAAAAAAGTTTGCATATGTGTTTTTTTTTTGTTTTGTTTTTGTATCATATTTGATGCATAAGGCTTTTATGGCTCTAGTAAACTATATAGTATAATATAGTAAACTCTTAAACTAATATGATATAGGACAATGGGAAGCTCATACTCAAGGAGGAAAAAAATACGTCAGCTTTATTCAGAGGCCCAAACTGACCATAAATATGCAATTTTGATGCAGTTGCTGATGTTTTTTTGTCCAAAAAGATACAAATCTGACTGCTTTTAATGTGAATCAATGAGGTGTTTATAACAGTATAGCAGACTACTTACAGTACATAAAATTATTTTAAATATCAGTTGTTCCCAATAATATATCTTGCTAAGATGACATTTAAAGGGGTCATATGATGCTTTTTTAAAGATCATTATTTTGTGTATTTGGTGTAACAGAATATGTTGACATGCTTTAATGTTCAAAAAACACATTATTTTTCAAATACTGTACATTATTGTAGGTCCTCTACGCCCCGCCTCTCTCAAACGCTTCGTTTTCTACAAAGTCCCTCCTTCCGACAAGCGCAGTCTGCTCTGATTGGCCAGCTGACCCAGTGCATTGTGATTGGCCGAACACTGCAAGCACTTGTCGGATATGTAACGCCCCTTACCATAATCGCGAGCTTCATCTTTCAAAATAAATGTAATTTGATAAAGTATATCTCTTTGGTTTTGAGACTTTAGTCTTTGCAACTTCAGGGATCTTATCTATGCACAATCAGCTTGTAACACTCCAAAGAGAAAGGAAAACTTGAAATCGCATCATATGTCCCCTTTAAATGCTTTTTTTTTAATCAAAGCTCTGCACTTTTTATTGTGGGGGACCAGACATATAATGCAATTCAATACAGTGATGATAGAGAGATGCACAAATAAAAGTTACTTAAAGGGGTGGTTGATCAAGGCTTTTTTCAAAGGCTTGATTGTGTTTATGGGGTGCAGTGTAACATGTGTTCATGCTTTGTTTTTTAAAAAAATACACATTATTTTCACATAATTTACATTTATTCTACACTGCTGTTTCCGTTCTCATCAAAACGGTCCGTTGAGTTCCTAGTTCTATGAAGCCCCTCCCTCAGAAATATGCAGTCGGGCTCAAATTGGTTAGCTGGCCCAGTGTGTTGTGATTCGCTAATTCCCTAGGAAACATCACACCCCCTTACCATTACAGGTAGTTGCATGTTCCCGGGGGCAGGGTTTATGTAAACATAGAGCTTAGAGATGTCACAAACCCGGGAAGAAGCTCGCTGTAGTCCCTACCAGCCTTTTTTTGTAGTCCTTAAACAGCGATTTCTTTAAAAGAAAATATCTCCCTTTGCATTGAACTTTGAGCGTCGTAACTTTGCACACATTGTTTATGCTCTAACAGCAACATTACACACTAACTAAAGTTTAAAAAGTGAAATCTTAATCAACCACCACTATAAAAGCTTTCAAAAGTGTATTTTTAATATATAAAAATCAGTAAAGATTTCACAACAAAAAGACGACATGAAGGGGGACATTTTTTTGAATTATACTAAAATAGCCATTTTACTTGCAAAAAGAAGACATGTTATAGATTGTATACAGCAGTTTTTTTTTCAGTAAAGTTGATTATGCTTATAATTTAAAGGCGTTAGAAGTTTGTGTATCAAATATGATACAGTAAGCTTTATTAAAATAACATACTAAACAATCTTACTTATTTAAAAAAAAATGCCAAAAGATTTCTGTTCCAGTTTATGGGTGGGGTTACAAGATAGAATTATGATCATCTCAAAATAAAGAGATTGTTTGTAAGCCACATATGCACACATACTGTACATGTATTCATTCACACACACACACACATGCACGGACAGTAGCATGATCTTTTTTTCTGTCATCAGATATCCCCGCAGCACTGGCTGGATCGGGCCTGTTCTCTGAGGACGTCAGTGGAGGGTTTGTGGTTCACTGGCTGAATAATAAAGATCTGAGCTTTACCACCTCCATGGACCTGTTCATGCAGCAGCTGCGCAAACTTTCTGAGCAACACCTGGAACAAGCCACTGAAGACTTTGAGCAGGAGGGGGCAGCCAAGATTGACTTCGGTACTGCCTTGTTATAAATAAACCTGTTAGCGTATAGATTAGACTTAATGCTAACAGACTAGGGATGTAATGGTATGAAAATTTCTTATCACGATTATAGTGACCAAAATTATCACGGTTATCAGTATTATCACGGTATTGTTCCCAGCTTTTCCGCCCTGTTTTCACTCAAAACGAAACTATGTGTGTGCACGTGAGACTGTTACTTGAAACTGTGCTTTATGCTGGATAGTATTTATTTATCGCGAGTTGTTCAAATCGCGGCAATCTAATACGGTTTTAATGATAATTAAAAGATGAAACGGTAATACTAACCGTGGGGAATTTTGTCATGATTTATGGTCAAACGGGTAATCGTTACATCCCTATAACAGACACATGGGCTAAAAGCTGCAAAGAACATTTCATGGGGTTTTTAATTGTGACATTATTGTGTCTTTAAGACTCTCTGCTGCACAATTACAGTATATTGTATAATGTTCTCTTTTGTGTTTTTGTTAGATCTGGATGAGATGTCTGATAAGGGCTCTTCAGAGCATGAGGAGGGAGATCAGGAGTGCAGCACCAAGGCCTCTTCTCCAGGTTCGAGCAGCAGTGTTCCTCTGCCCTCTGTTTTGCTGGATCGGAAGCTGGATGCTCTCATCCTGGAGTGGAACAAGAGTCCAGACATGCTTTTCACTATTCACCCACATGATGGATCTTTCCTTGTCTGGCATGTCAAGTACCTGGATGAGTTCATACCTGGCATCTTCAGACAGGTTCAGGTAAGACACTCATTCAGAAACCATGGTAATGACAAGTAATGGTTCATGATAGTTTCGAGGTATGGTGTCATGTTCATAAATATTGGCAAGCCTATACTCTCATGAAAAACTTGTGTTAAAGGGGACATGGGATGCAAAATTCACATTTACATGGTGTTTGCATATAAATGTGTCTGAGCAGTGTGTGGACACAACCACTCTACAATGATAAAAATCCATTCACTTTTTTTTTTTTTATCCCCCAAAAACTTTAAATGGTCTCAAGCTGTTATCAAGCTGATTTGTGGCCCCACCCATGACTGCTGACGGACTGTGCCGTATTAGCATATTTCCGCCCTCAGCCAGTTGTACGCTGTTCGCCATTTTCTCTGCGCTCGAGCAGCTGTAGCTACATGTCTCGTAAGCAATGCAGGTGTTTTGTAGTTGGATGTAAATGTGAACATAAGAGTCTTAATTTTCTTCTGACATCAGAGCCACTGAGGACGCAGTGGATTAGTTTTGTTTTTGATGTATATCCGGTATATCCGTTTTTTTGGATATACAAAAAAACGGAGGAAAAGGGTGGGGTGAGCAGTAGCTCATTATCATTTAAAGAAACATGCACCGAAACGGGTCGCTGTGAAAGGAGCTGTTTTTGACAAATGGTAAAAAGGGTGTTGTTTTACACGACCATTGAGGAATTTTAACCAAAGTATGATGCATACATTTCATGAAGACCCTAAAGAATCACACCAACTTATGGAAAATGGGCATCCGAAGTCCCCTTTAATACACTAATACGCTTACACTACTAATTACCCTGATAAACTAAATAAAATCTATTTGTTTTCTCTTTCAGGTGTCGTTCTCCTCTCGTATCCCAGTGGTGTTCCCCACAGGTGATGCTAACTCCCTCAGTAAGAACATCATGATGTACGCCTGTACGTTTATGGACCAAGAGAATTGCAACGCTCTGGAGGATAAAAGAAGTGAGCGGCGGGTTCCTCAGAGTGCATCTGCGTCTGCGGGGCTCAGTGCTTTTGGACACTCTCTCGCTGCTGTCATCGGCCCTGCCGTCATGATGGTGTCCAAACACGTTGACGGCTCGCTCAACCAATGGGCTGTGACCTTTGCTGAGAAGTCCGCCTTTTCAAATGTCCTCACAGTTTCGCACAAGTTCCGTTACTGCGGACACCGTTTCCATCTCAATGATTTGGCTTGTCACACGGTCCTTCCCTTGCTGCTGACATCATCTCATCACAATGCATTGTTGACTCCACTCTCTGGATCTGAGAGCATTGATGGAGATCAGATTGGGGGCGTGGCTCTACAACCCTCCAGGCTGATGAGAGGCGTTCCTCGTAAACAGCTGCGAAATGCAGCCACACGTACGTTCCATGACCCGAACGCGATCTACAGTGAGCTGATCCTCTGGAGAGTCGATCATATTGGCCCACTCTCCTGCACAGGGGGCGTGTCAGAGCTAGCACGAATCAACTCGCTCCACACATCTGCGTTCTCCAACGTGGCCTGGCTGCCAACACTCATCCCTAGCTCAGTGCTCGGTGAGTTTCACACCACAGCTGTATCCATTCTAACCTCAGAAACTCATAATCAAAAGTTTAGTTTGACATATAATACATTATTATTGGATAATATAGGGAGAGCAATTTAAACAAAACCCTAAACTTTGATACATACCTGCACGATTACTTTGCTAAGCGATGAGAGCTGTCACTTTTCGACTGACGAGTGAAAAATCAGAACACTAACAATGTCCTTGCAGCCATTCAGAACAATCTTGTAACTGCTTAGTAGCACCCTAACAACCACACAAAATCACCCAAGCAATTCGCTTACAACTATCCAGTAACTTATGAACATCCTAGAACAGAGGTGGTCAAACTACGGCCCGTGGGCCATACCTAGAAACACCCTAGCAACCACCCAGAGCATCATAGAAATTGCCTAGCAATGCCTTAGCCACCAGCCAGAATCTGCCTAGCATTGCCCTATCAGCCACCCAGAAACTTTCTATCAGCCATCCAGAACACCCTAGTAACATCCCAGAAACTACCTCGCAATGCCCTAGCAACCACCTGGAACACCTTAGAAACTGCCTAGCAATGCTGTAGTACCCAGAAACTGCCTAGCAAAGCTTTAGCAACGTCCTAGCCATCCAGAACACCCTAGTAACATCCTAGAAATTGCTTTGCAGTGCCCTAGCAACCACCCGGAACACCCTACAAAATGCATAGTAATGCCCTGTCAAACACCCAGAAACAACTTAGCAATACCCTAGCAACCACCCAGAACACCATAACAAGTGCCTAGCAATGCCCTATTAACCACCCAGAAAGTACGTAGCAGTGCCCTATCAACCGCTCAGAACACCATAGCAACATCCTAGAAAGTACCTACCAGTGCCCTAGCAACCACCCAGAACACCCTAGAAACTGCCTAGCAGTATCCTTTCAACCACCCAGAAACTGCCTAGCAGTGCTGTAGCAGCCACCCAGAACACCATACAGAACTGCCTAGCAATGCTGTAGCAACCGCCCAGAAACTGCCTAATAAAGCCCTAGCAACGTCTTAGAAACTGTTTAGCAATGTCCTAGCAACCACCTTGAACATTGTTGCAACACAAGAAATTGGCTATATACAGCATTCTAAAAACTGCTTTGCTATGCCCTAGCTATCAACCTAAAACATGCATAATCACCTAGCAACACTAAGCCACTGCCTAGCAATGTGTAAAAATAAAATAAAATAATAATAAAAACTCAACATAGCAACGCCCTTGTATACATAGTGGAGAGTTCAGCATAAGCAAACATCATATTTTCTTCAGAAAATGAAATCTAGTATGGTTATGTTACTATGTTGGGCTACTAGTTGTTATTAGTAACTAGTTGTTACTCCGTTGGGCTTAATACAAATATTTGTGTTTGTGTCAGGAACATACTGTAACTCAGCAAGTGCGTGCTTTGTGGCGTCTGATGGTAAAAACCTGCGTCTGTATCAGGCTGTGGTGGATGCCCGCAAACTACTGGATGAACTCTCTGACCCAGAGACCTCTGTAAGAGCCTCTTAGAGTAGATTTGATCAAAATAATGTCCTTATCTGCCAATTAATGTATGGTAAATATAATTAGAGTTGATCTGATTGTTGATCTCTGATGGTTGCTTTTATGTTAAGAAACTGGTGGGTGAAGTATTCAACATTGTGAGTCAGCAGTCCACTGCCCGACCCGGCTGCATCATAGAGCTGGATGTCATTACTAACCAGGTGGGTTCTACATCTGTTTGTGTGCAGATGCAAGTTTGTGTTTGATTAACATTGTCTGTTATTTAAATTTGTTGCAATTCAAAAATAATATGTTGTGTGTGATACTGCATGTATGTCTGTGTCTCTCAGTGTGGCTCGAACACACAGCTGCTCCACGTATTTCAGGAGGATTTTATTTTAGGCTACAAACCACATGAAGACATACTAGAGTTCAACAGTACTAGTGTTCCCTCTGCAGAAGGTACAAAAATATTTTCTTTCTTTTTAAGTCTGGTTTAAACCGTGTTTACAGAACATTACATTTGGGTTATCTTTGTTTCTAGAGTACCAGCCCCCTCCTTTCTCAGAAAAGTTCTACCTGGTGGTGATCGAGAAGGATGCAAATCGGAACTCAGTATTACAGATGTGGCATCTTCATCTGCGCTCGGTGCAGGCGTGTGTGGGTGCGTATGATGTGGGCTATTTGTGAAATGATGACACAGCTGTCAACAGACAGCTTATGAGAGGAAATTGTGAGGGGAGTCTCATGAATGGAAAGCTGATACTTCCTCTAATGACTAATTTCTTTTTCAGATATGGAAATAATTTAGAAGGAAATTATGCCTTAATTTACCCGTTGAGCATCAATAATGTACATCTGCACTGTGTATTGTACTGTCTATGTTTATTTGTTGTTGATCTCTGTTTCTCTCTCCCTCTCCCTCTGTCTCTGTCTGAAATGTATTCAATATAATTAATGTCATGATTGATTACGGTTACATTTTACTGTCTTTCTAATCTTTGCAGAAGAGCCAGTAAATGACCAGGTGTTCCAGAACCAGCTGACGGTTCCTTTGAGTCAGAACTATGGTGACTCATCTCCTGACACCACTCCAGATCATAGTCCGCTGCCTCGCTCCTCCTCTTCCGCCAACCTGCAGTCAGCCAGCAAACTCATCCTGAGCTCTAAACTGGTCTACAGTCAGCGGCTAGACCTTCCACGAGGGGTGGAGCTAATCAGAGCTACGCCCTCTGCCGGTATGATCATATATATATATATGTGTGTGTGTGTGTGTGTGTGTGTGTGTGTGTGTGTGTGTATATATACATGCATTTTTACAGACTAGAATAGCCCTATTAATTGCCTCATAACAGTTATATGAGCTATACGTGCTAGCTTTTAATCTTAAGATAAATCACAGCAGGTCAGTTCTGTGTGGTTATACTTACTCTGGCCATTGGACTGTTAATAAAATATAATTATCCTGATATTCAAGATGTACTACTGAACATTATTGTGCACCAAGATTTCAGTTTATTGATGCCATTGTAGAAATATCCTCTCACAAGTGTATGATAATATGAGGGTTATACAAAATGAAGTGAAAGGTGCTAGGGTTGTGCCGATAGACGATAGTATCGTGTATCGACGATAGTCAGAGATATCGCCTATGGCTGATGCCTTTGATGATATCAAGACGATTATTATTATTATTATTATTATCAGGCTAGTATTATTATCTAATTAATATTAGGGCTTATTCGTTCCATCATATTTCTTTTTATTAGTGGTCGATCGATATGGAATTCAGAGGCATTCAGACGAGTCATCACAAACAAATAAACACCGGAGTTTTGTTATTTAGTGTGTACGCTCGCTGACTGATTTCTGCTCTCTCGCAAAATGCTCTCATAAACAACAAAATGCAGATGTATGACCAATAGGGATTTATTCATAATACAGAGCAAACAGCTTCACTGATTATAACGGGAGTGTTTATTGTGCATAAACTCGTGCTAGACTGAAGTCAGTGATGATGTTCTTTGATCGTTTGCTGTAGCTGAGGAAATGTAAGCATTTTATTTAGTAACTTTCAATGTTTTTATTAAATTGTTATGTTAAATACAAATTCAGTCATATTAAATGTTTTATGACATGACATCCATATGCTACTTGACTAAAAATATATTATGTTTAGTTAATAGATTACAGTAACATTAGGCTGCTTTTAGCCATACGCTGGAGTTGGTTCACTCTCCGGCTATGAAACTAAGTAAATAATGAAATCAGTTATCATGATAATGTCATGTATCGACAATCTCACAGGCTGACGATAGGACAATATGACTATGGACTATATCGTCCAACACTAAAAAGTAGAGATGTAACGATTCGATTTTCTTACGATTTTTTTCAAATAAAATTAGATTTAAGACAAATAATAAAGGAAAAGGTGTCCTTTTATTATTGCTTGGACAAAATGCTGCACATTTCTTTGTGAAACGGAAATATGTCAAATAAAAAAAATACATTGAAATTTAAAAACAAACCCAAAATCTAATCAAATAAATAAGACAAAAAAACCCTCTTCATATAAACAAAGGCTTTGCCTGTGCTCTTTCCATTCAAAAATAGAGGCAACCACTGCATTTGAATCACAATCCAAACAAAGATGCTGAATACATGCAGCATGAGCAGCTTTTTTAAATCTAAATTTAATTATATAATTTGAAATTTTACAACAAACACAGAATGCTCTGACTTTAGTTTTGTGAAACTATACTACATGAAGTATCTGCACGAAACAAAGACAGCAAAAGCTCTGAATGAGATGCAGATTCACTCTCTGACAGCAGGTGGCACTCATGGAACAGCAGTGATACAGCATTTGTTACCGATGTAAACAAAGCAGTGCAGCGCTTATGAACGCTGCTTTTTTTTGGCCAGAACACGTTTTTTTGCAGTGAGAGGCGCCTTTTTTAAAATTGTTTTCTATTGGCAGTGAGCGTTTTGCGTGCTGTTTATGCACCCCGGGCGCCTCGCGTTTTAGCCGCCTGCTGCACCTCGCGTTTTTGCAGGAGCGCTCTAAGCACCTGTAGTTGAAAAAAAAAAGCAACTCTGAGCAGAAAAGCACCCGACGTTATTCGTGTTTTTTTCCATTGCCCAATCGAATGAATGGAGAGGCGGGCCTTCTGTTGTGCTGACGAAAGTTTACAGTTGCTTGTTGTGGCTGTCGCGGGTTACCCGGAGCTGTACATTTTTTTAAGTTTCTGCTAATATGACAGTTTAACAGCAAACCAAAGAGCGCTCGCGCTACACTGACAGGACAGCTGATTCAGTGGTTGCCTAGCAACATAAAAAAACGCAGTGCACTGCTCTTTTATCTATAATCAACCAAAAAAAGGCAGTGCGGTGCGTCTCGTGTTTTTCAGGTTATGTCTGATCGGGGGGCATTACTTAATATGCATTACACAGAGTCGAGATGAAAAGAAAATACCATCTAAACTTTTCTGAAGACAGTCTGTTCCCCTCAAAAATACATTCATATAAACTCCCACCCCCAAATTTATCGCGATTCGTTTAACATCTCAACCCGATTTGAATTGTCACATATTTGTATCGATGTTCAACCGGCTCACGGTGAATCGTTACATCCCTACTAAAAAGTTCCCTTATCTAGAATGAAAGCATTTGTCACTATAGCTGCATTCACATGGACCCTAATAATCTGTTCGTAACTGGACTAGCAGACTAGTCATGGTCTCTGAATTAATGGTCAAATAAAAATGTCTGCTAAACATTGAAGTATTTATAATATTGGATAATTTTATATCGAAAACAAAATATAATTTCTCATATAGTAGGTGAAATGTAATTGTATTTCATAATAAGCCGTTTGTGGGTGTGTATGTGGATGGTTTGTGTTTGTCAATTGTGTTCTGCTGTTAAAGCATCATGTGGGTGATAAAAATATTGGGTGTTCTTTTCAAAGGTCACTTGAGCTCCTCATCTATCTACCCTGTGTGTTTGGCTCCATACCTGATTGTGACCACCTGTTCTGATGGACGTGTCAGGTTCTGGCACTGTAGGGTGGACATGGAATTATCAGCGCCACACCCCAAAGAGACACGTTCATATCGGTGGGAGCAATGGAGCCTCTTGAAAGAAGAAGACGACATCGACAGCTCTGTGTGTGTTGCGGGCCGACCCGTTGCGGTCAGCTGCTCCTACACGGGAAGACTTGCTGTGTCGTTCAAACAAATGTCACTTGAGAACGAGGGTGGCATGCCTCAGGACTTCTCCATGCTTGTATCAATCTACGAGTGTGAGTCGACGGGTGGCTCGGAGTGGGTCCTGGAACAGACGATTCACCTTGATGATTTTAGCAAACCTGTGAAAACCCTAGATCCACGTGTTAGTGTTGATAGCAATTTGGTTGTCTATAGCAAGTCAGATCTGTTTGTAACCAAAGACAGCCCTAATATCAAACACTTTGTGCACCTGGACTGGCTGTCAAAAGAAGATGGGTCGCACATCCTGACGGTCGGGGTTGGATCCAACATCCTTATGTATGGACGCATCTCAGGGGTTGTCACAGAGCAGACAGGAGTGAAGGATGGCATGGCAGTCACCCTGCCTTTAGGGGGCAGTATAAAGCAGGGAATTCGCTCTCGTTGGGTGCTTCTGAGGTCTGTAAACCTCGTCTCTTCTGTGGATGGTACCCCATCCCTGCCGGTGTCCCTATCCTGGGTGCGTGATGGCATCCTGGTGGTGGGCATGGATTGTGAGATGCAGGTTTATGCGCAGTGGAGGCAGGACGAAAAACCAGGCGACTCAGACAACAACAGCATCTCATCCCCAGAGGGCATTGGAGGTCGCACTATGTCTGTTTCAAATGAGGGCAGTGCGCGATCTAAGAGTGTCTTCGAGGGTAGTGCAGGAATTGATGATGTGTTCCACCCCCCAGCAGTGATTCAAGATGGCGGCTTGTTTGAGGCTGCCCATTCATTGTCACCCACTCTTCCGCAATACCATCCAACCCAGTTGCTAGAGCTTATGGACCTCGGAAGGGTACGTCGTGCTAAGGCCATTTTGGCACACCTGGTCAAGTGCATTGCTGGAGAAGTTGCAGTGGTGAGGGATGTGGAAGCAGGTGAGGGTGGTGCCAGGAGGCATCTATCCCGAACCATCAGCGTGACGGGTAGCACAGCAAAAGACATTATCGTTGCTGGCCGAGATGTTGGGCGAGATTATACTGAAATCAACTCCATTCCCCCGCTTCCACTATACGCCCTGCTGTCTGCAGACCAGGACACCTCTTACAAGATGGGAGAGGAAGCGGGAAAAGGGGCAGATTGTGATACACAGAAACAACCAGAGGATCAATACTCTGGTCTGTTTCAGGTGCAGACTGTCACCACTGACGATTTTGTGAGCTTTGCTGCAGAGAAACCAGAGAAGAAGTCTCGTGTGATTAACCTATCACAATACGGCCCCACATACTTTGGCCCTGAACATGCACAAGTGCTGTCTTCACATCTTATGCACTCCAGCCTGCCAGGTCTCACACGCCTCGAGCAGATGTTCCTTGTGGCTCTTGCCGATACTGTGGCGACCACTAGTGCAGAAGTAGCAGGACCCACAGATAAACAGTACACTGGTGAGTTTACTTCTCGTACCATCTTTAAAACTGATGTAATTTTGCACAACTAGTGTTACCAAATAGAATTGCAAAAACAATGACTGTTTTACAGGTTTTTCAAACAGTCCCCCCATTTTTCATTCGTCAAACAAAAAAGATCAAAGTCATTGGTTGAGCCAATTTTGCTGTATTGGGCTTATCTGGATGCTCAAACAAAGCATTGCTTTTTTGGTTCTACAGAACCATAGTCTTTACACTTTTCAAGGAAAACAACATACGATTGAGTTTCTTATAGTTGTCTCTGCAAATTTAAGAATTACAAGCTTCACTACTAGGGGTGGGAATCTCTGGCTCTCAATCAAACATTGGTGCCTGTAATTTTCAAGTACTGAAGATTTTGGTTAGCATTTTCAAGTTTGTTTAAGGTTGGCGCTAAACTCTGCCGGACAATGGACTTTTGAGGGCCAGATTTGCACACCCCTACACTAATGGGATAGAGACCCACAGTGAAAATACTGTTCTGAAAATGATGGTCACAAAGACTTTCTGCGTCTAAATAAACGCAATTCTTTTCAAGAAAAAAAGAGACAGAAGCAGCAGTTGTGAGTGGTATGGCCAACCCTAGCTCTGCCCCTGAGTTAATTGGGTTAAATATTTTTAACGCGTTAAACTGAAAAAAAAAAAATCATCACCTGCATTAACACACTCATTTTCACAGCACTAATCTTAAGGCAATGAATTTGTCTAGATGATCAAACTTGCTTGTAAATGCAAACTGTACACAACAGTGGTGTCCGTGGTATCAAGACGGTATCAGTATGTCCTAATAGTTCTGCAGTTATGCTCAAGGTTTTGTTTTTACCCCCCTGCTGGAAGAGTTAGTAATTACACCATCTGACCCCAACAAGCATCTTCCTTCTTTGACTGGCAGTATAGGCCACATTGAGATATCAAAGAACATAAAGTGTAAAATAGAAACTGTATTTCAGTTCAGTATGTAATACTGTTCTGTTTAAATATTTAAATAATGTAATTATTTAAACAAATAAACCAACACAAATTCCTTAACAGTCGAAGTAGTGTTGTCAAAAGTACCGATGTTCAGTCGGTACTGAAATTTTTAAAAAGTAATGATACCAGCATTTTTCGCTAGGATTTTGAGCGCTGTTGTGCGGATTCTTAAACACCTCTGATTGGCCATTGTGTTCACGCACTCAACAGATATGTCTGTGATTGGCTACAATGATCATCGTTTCAGGCTCTTCACTGAGCGCTTACACAGATGGCCAATCAGAGGTGTTTAAGAATCCGCTCAACAGCGCTCAAAATGATAGCGGGAAATAATGGTATCGTAACATTGTTTAAATGTCAGGACCGACTGGTACCGACATCGGTACTTTTGACAACACTGAGTTGAAGTAAAATTAGTTTTTGTCCCTAATAATATTAATGAGTATATTTTGAATGTGATATTCTTGTTGTGTTGGCTAAATGTCTAGTATGTCAGTGGGGTTAACCAAGTACATGAAGAGAGAACCATAATAAATCTTCATAAATCTTTTTTTTTAATAACCTTGGTATAATTATTTATTGTCAACGTTAAACATATCAGGCTTTATCCATGTTACCTATAGCTCAGATATTTTTTATTTAGTCTTTTTAGTACTAAACCATAACACAGTGTTCCAGTGCTTGCTTGCTAGAGCCAAGATGCAAGGAGAAAGGTTCAGGGACAGTAGGATAAATCATACGGCATGCAAGTGTTTATATTGTAGTTCTAATTAAAACATAACTAAAACATTAGATTGCTGATGAACTTCAAAGTTCAATCCTCAATTTCCCTGTAGAGGAAGTTTTGAATTAGTCTCTGAGTTTTGATGTGGTGGATTTTTTGGTACTGTTAAAATGTTTTATTGGATCAGGTGTGATCAGAGTCTGATCACACTTGTGGTCTGGAATATGTTCAGGATTGTGTGTGCTCTGAACACTCTTTGATGACAGAGCCATATGTCTGAGAGTGACGATCTCATATCATGCTTTTCGAAACTGATGCAGTTAAATTGCTGTGTAGAAAAAAAATCAGAAGTTAAAACTGCAACACATTTTCTAAGGGTTATGGTGTAGTAAATGTGTGTTTCTGCAGGTGGAGAGGCTCTAGATGAGTGTGGTCTACGTTACCTGCTGGCCATGAGGTTACATACCTGTCTGCTGACATCCCTGCCCCCACTCTACAGGATGCAGCTACTGCATCAGGGTAACACACACTCACTTACATACACATACACACACGTCACACTCCCATCTGCACACAATGTGGTATATGGTTCCCTCATGTAAGATGGTGCTAAAACTTTTCCAACACCAGTAAAGGGCCCAGCATTGAAAATGAATGTGGAGGGAAAAAAACAACAACTTTTAAACGCTGTTAATAATTTATGAACATATAAATATAAAGACATTAGACTGGTGTATTGTTGCAACAGTGCTCGTTTTTGGACTTAACCATACACTTCTTTCTTATTAAATTATTTTTGTAAGGTGCTGATATTTTGAATATTATATTGTTGCACCTGTGTATATATATATATATATATATATATTTGTGTGTGTATGTACAATGGGTATAGGGAAGAATCACCCCCTTTAAAATAATCACATTGTGTTGCTTTGCAGCCTGAAATGAAGACGGACACAGTTTTTGTTTTATGCAGCTGTATTTACTCAGTACAAGTTATTACATCCAGGTGAAAGATATAACACCCAACATGTCAGAAAAAAATTAAAAACCGAATCACTGAGTTGGAAAAAGGATCACCCCCTTGTGTCAGTATTTTGTAGAACCACCTTTTGCTTGAATTACAGCCTTTAGTCTCTTGGGATCTGTCTCCGTCTCTACTAACTCTGCACATCTAGACATCCTTCAACCACTGTGAGCTCAGTTTTGCTGTGTGCTTTGGGTCATTGTCATGTTGGAAGGTAAACCTTCTTCCCATTGACAACTTTCTGGCAGAGGGCAGCAGACTTTCCTCAAGAAGTTGAGAGTATTTTGCTCCATTTTTCCTTCTATCTTCTATCCTGACATGTGCTCCAGTCCCTGCTGCAGAGAAACACCCCATAACAGGATATCACCACCTCCATGCTTTACTGTAGGAATGCTGTTATTTGGATGGTGAGTTGTATTGGATTTCCACCAGATATATTGTTTGGTGTTGAGGCCAAATAATTCAATTTTAGTCTAATCTGCCTCAGAATCTTCAAGGTGCGTTTTGGCAAAGCTCAGTTGTGACTGCATGCGACCTTTATTGAGGAGTGGCTTTTTTCTTGCAGCCCTCCCATACAATCCACATTTGTGGAAAGTCAAATGGCTTTGTGTGCCATTGAGAAGGTGATTAGCTACACCTGATTGAGTTTACAAGTAATTTTTAAGAGGGGGGTGATCCTTTCTCCAACTCAGTGATTCGAGCTTTCTATTTTTTTTTCTGACATGTTGGTGTTATATCTTTCACTTGAATGTTATAAGTTGCACAGGGGGTATTCTTTTCTATACCCACTGTATGTATGCAGGGGCGCCATGAAGAGTTTTAAGGGAGGTATGCAAGACAGAAATTTGGGCCCCCTTCTTCCAAATGAAGGTTTTTTTTTTTTT